CAATACAACCAGCTCACGATTCAGTTCAGTGCACTCATAACACAGTGAAAATGAAAACTTCTTAGACATCTAAATTCACAAAAACACTTCCCTGTTTTGTAGATTAGAGCGTACAGTAATTAAACTAGAGTGTGGCTTATTAGCTAGGATGAGCATCAGGGTCAGCAACAGGTCGGTCAAGGAAACAGATCTGTATGTGAGAATGCAAAGGCCTGAATCAGCTGATGGGGGCGTTAAGCAGAGTTTACCCTGCCAGCTCCCTGGTGCAAAGTCTGTGTTAAATCCGAGTGAGCCTGTGTGATGAAACAGCATCATATAGTCTGGAGAATTCACAGCGAGCTAGTGGGTGTGTTGGTGGTGCTCTATCATTTGACTGGTGCGTAATTGGAAGAATGCAAACATCTGATGGTGAAAAGAAAAAAGGTCATTTACAATGAAGACGCCAAAGACAATACATAACTGGAGATACAATGAGATTTGGGAACTTATTATGTTGAGAGCTGGTGGTCATCAGATGAATTTAATTTATGGCAAGAGACTCAGTTGTTTATGAGAAAGTAAATTGCAAACTAGCTACGTGACCACGTCGTGTCCTGACTCTTGGGTGCTCTACCCAGACATAGACTGGAGTTCATATGTGTGAAAGTAACTGTGATGTTACAGTTTTTTTCTGTTGCTAACAAGCATTAACCAATACTTAAAATACTTTTTCTAAACTCTTAACACAGCAACACAGTTACATCACACACCTGGCCAAATGGTTCATTTTCAGACCAAAACCACATTTTGTTAAATAAATACAAACTTTACATTTCACAATGCAAAATACCATTTTCTACATATACTAACTTTATCAAAACACAGCAAACCTGACTCATAATTGAGTCGTTTGATCAAAACATTAGCACTAGTTTTCTATCCAACAGGAACATATAGTCAGTCATAGTGCACAGACTGTCAAAATGTAAAAAAGTAATCACTTTACAAAAATGACATTACTTCTCATTGAACTGTATACAATATGAAAACCATCTTTGATATCCAAAAATGTAGAAATACAGTAATTCAGTCAGCCTTACTGTAAACACACTAAAATTGTGTGTGTGGATAAATTTCGTATAGTATATGTACAGTGGAGCCATCAGTACTTTATGGATTATAAAAAAAAGGGCAGAATTGCTGCAGTAAAGGCTTTACGGTATTAGCATTTGCATATTGCTATCAATAATCACAGAAAAAAGCACTTTGCCCTGTGTTTACAACAATAGACAAAAATAAAACAAAATGACAGACCAAAAAGTCCTAATCTACACGATCATCAGCATTTGGCCACATGTTCTCATCAACATCACACCTTATAATGTCTCTTGCTATGCACCTTGGAAAGAAACGTTTAGAATGCCTTATCCACCCCTGGCAATCTTCAGCTGAGATGTCTCTGCAGCCAGCCTCCATTGCATCCAGAAGGGACATTTGATCATGTGGTCGATGATCATAGACTTTCCACCTCCACGCAGACAAAAATTCTTCATTGGGGTTGAGGAATGGAGAGTATGGAGGAAGAAAAAGTGAAATCATTCTCGGATGGGCTGCAAACCAATTTGTGACTGCTTGTGAATGGTGGAATGCTACGTTGTCCCATGCAATAACAAATATTGTCATGTTTCCTCCCACTTGTTCCCTTTCTGCCCCTGGCACCAGTTGTTGATGAAGGTCATCTAAAAACAAAAGAAGGCGCTCTGTGTTGTAGGGACCTATCTGGCTTTTCTGCAGGACCAAACCAGCACTTGAGATTGCAGCGCACATTGTGATATTTGCTCCTCTCTGACAAATTGGAACCAGCTGTTTCCCAAGTAGAACAATAATTCTTATCAGCTCTTTGAGCTGTTGTGGCAAAAGTAGAGGCTTTACATTATATTTAAAGTTTGGATCATTAGGTCTTCAATTCTGTCATGATGTATTTTAGCATTTGTTAAAGATATTTGAAAAATCCATTATTTTGCTACGGGGTAAGCTTGTGTGAAAAGAAAATGTAAGCATTTTAGAAACGTGTGCATTGACTAAATTTTGTGTGAAAACGACATTAATTGTATTAATGGTATGGTCACAACAGACAGATGTTGTGATAATTGTGTTTAGAGTTTTGAAAATGTGAATACAGAATGGACAAATGCTTGTTAGCAACAGAAAAAAACTGTAATTGTATTAATGGTATGGTCACAACAGACAGATGTTGTGATAATTGTGTTTAGAGTTTTGAAAATGTGAATACAGAATGGACAAATGCTTGTTAGCAACAGAAAAAAACTGTAATGGATTAAAACACGACAAACCACTTATATGGTCTTTTAAAGCTTAATGATGTTTAGGAGACTTCAGCTACATCCACTGACGTCTGTCTCCTGCTGCCGCCACTACAGCAGTTTGTTTGGACATGCTGCTGTCATCCAAAGAGCGTTCGTTGGACTGTGTCATCTGTCCCTCCATGTCCTCGGCCAGGGCTCTCTTGTACACCCCCGTCAGACTCTGCCTGAACCGCCCCCTCACATCCAGCCCCATGCAGAAGTACAGTATTGGGTTCACACAGCTGTTAAAGTAGGCGATGCCCTTCGCCACAGGGTGCCAGACCTTCACCACCTTACTTTTACTGTCCACCATCTTCACCAGCAGGAGGCAGTGGTATGGCGCCCAGCACAGGAAAAATGCAATGACTAAGGATGCTAATATACGCAGAGGACGCGCTTTCCCTGACAGGCGCGTGCGTTGGATGCCGAGTCCGGCCAGGATGTAACAGATGACAATGACCGTGAAAGGCAGCATGAAGCCACACAGGAAGCGGATTGTGTAGAGAGCCACTTTGCTGCTCTGGTCCTCCTCCACTGCCTGCTTCGCATCCACTGAGCACTTGCTCAGGTTGTTCTTACCCAGGTAGACTTGGCGGTAGATGAAGTACGGAGTGCTGAAGACAACTGCGGTGATCCAGATGCACAGTGCCACCAGCCTGGCAACCCACAGGGTGCGGTGGCGTTTGGTGAAAATAGGCTGCCAGATGCAGAGCGCTCGGTCCAGGCTGATCACAGCCAGTAGAAAGACAGAGCAGAACATGTTGGCGTATTTGAAGAAGCCATTGAACTTGCAGACAAATATGCCAAATGGCCAGTAGTCAAAGAAGAGCTTCTTAATGAGGGAGAAGACTCGTGTGAAGCAGAAGATGAGATCTGCTATCGCCAGATTCACCAGCCACACGTTGGTCACCTTTGGCTGAGGAGGCAGAAGAGAAAAAAGAACAGAAGGGAAACAAAACAGAAAGGAAGAAGATGCGCTGTTACATACATGTAGACAGATAAACACAGTAGTGTGCAGCCACAAATCCCACCCCCAGAGAGTTGGCAGTAGTCGGTACAGCTGTCAGACCTGTGCCTCCAACACGAGCTTAGTACAGAATCTGAAGAGTTAGGTTTCTGTTTTTGGACTTCTTTTAAACCTACTTTGTGGTGCTACAGCTCACGTTAGAAAAACACGTGTTCATGACTGGAACATCTGCCCCCTGGGAGCCTTTTTGCAACTATATTGAGTTTAGAGTATGAGGCTGCTGCTTAAACCTCCATGCAGCTGCAGCACAGGCTAAATGTTGGTGTATCCACCTGTTCTGCTCAAATACTAAATTTAAGGGCACCTCATGGTGCTTGTCCTGGTGTGGTCAAGCATCAGAAGCATAAAATACAGTACTCGCCTATTTCGGTAGTCCTGTGCTGAATTTGTACTGCTTCTGATGTGCTACAGGAGTCATGTGATGCACATAAGGTGTGCGGTGCCCTTTGTATATCTAAATCTGCAAAAAAAAAAAAAAAATTCACTTCTTTTCTTCTTCTTTTTGGTAAATTAGCATGCTCTAATTTTTGGAAGTACAGTTCCCATAGTCTGGGGCTTTGGGGGATGTACACCAGAAGTATAATGTTGCAGCATAGTCATGTGTTCTGTGGGCTACAAATGAAGTTCTATGTTTATCCCTACATGTTTACATTTGGACGAATTAGCTGCTACTTGTTGACAACTATCACTGAGTGACTTTGATATAGAAGAAAAATTTAAAAAATTTAAAATTTTCAGGTTTGTCCTGGAGTGATTAACTTCTTTTCCTATGATTTCTAGGTCAACTTATGAATGTTAGTTTTTTCACAGTGGAGATAATTTCCTCCAAGTGCAAGTTTTGCCATGAATCTAATAAGTCGATCAGGTCTTAAGGTTCAGGTGACATATGATTTGGAAAGACTGTGGATTTTATCATGTTGTGATATCCACTGATCCCCCTCATATTACATAAATTACAGATGTCAGTTCCCTTTTTTGGCCACTGTTTATGACCTACTTTCACACAAGCACAGTCTTATTTCCTTCTACATGCATCACATTAACAAGTCAGTTTGCAAAATTATTTCTATTTCTTCAAAAACTATTTGTACCAGATTGTTTTATCTACCTTGAGCTTGAATCCAGCCACCCAGATCACCGCAGAGTTCCCTGTGATGCCAAGCACAACGGTCAGTGTGTAGAGGACGATGGAGACATTGTCCATGATGGCGTCGATGTCCACCGTTGTTGTTTGGTCATTCTTGGGAGACTTGAGGATGTGAACAGGCAGAGAGGTGTTGGGAGACATTGTATGGCTATAAATGAGAAAATACAAAAAACAGAAATGTTACAGTCATATTATTCTTGATTCTAAAGAAAAGAGAACCAGATATCTCCAGAGAAAATGAGCTGACGTATACAGTCTCAATATTGCAGTCAGATTAATTCAGATAAAGGTCGTATCATAGTTTCTACACAGTCTGATCGTTTTGTGTCCACTGTGGTAATTTACACCCTTTGATTACTCCAACAGTCCAAAACCCCCAAACACAAACAACATGTGTTTCATGTTTGTTTTGCACTTCACTCAGTCCTGCTGTTAAAATATGAAAGCTAGAGATTAACTGAAGACATAAATTGGCTATGTTAGTGAAAAAAAAAATCACTGATGCACGTGCATCTATAGATGTTGCAGTAGGAACACGATGCAGTTTTCACCCAAGTTTTTTTGCAGTTTTTGCCTTCATGTTGCACACGAGACAATATTTGAACAGATGAACTTGTGTTACATTGGCTGAAACCAAGAGTGACAATCACAGTTTACATGTTCATACATGTCTGTTATCGACACCAGCTAACAGGACAGTTAGCCAACCACCATTCAGCTTATCGTATTAAAAATATTTTTGGGTGGGTGAGGGGGTCAACTTGATTCCTCTAGATAAGAGCAAATGTATCTACAGAGAAACTGTTTTCTTTGTCAACACAGCAATGAAGTGACTAAAGGCAAGTTCATGCTCAACTAAAGAGGCTAGTGCATGAGTTCACAAATGCACTGTGGGTTTGGGCTGCTTCCTCTTTTACTTTCATGCATTTAAAAAAGAAAAAAATCCATCCAAGACGTCAGCCTCTGGTTTTAGGAAAAAACACAGAGCCTGCTCCATTGTCAGATTGTTATGTTCAAGGAAAATAAGAATAGTCACAAGCTTTTTTAAAAAAGGACTGTCTCCTAAATGACTAAAAATTTCTGATCACAAGTCTTAATATTCATACGATGCTATGAAAATAGACACTGGTAGATGGTATGAATGAACCGTGTGTATGCTGTGGAAGAGTCGGATACACTCAGCAGAGTCAGTGTGTCACTGTGTCTGTACTTGCCTGTGTTTGTATGTGTGTACTAGCTTAAAATGGTTGTGTAAAAAAAGATGTTTGCTCAATTTCCTGTTATCTATACTTTACTGCCCCCTTTTACTTCTGTTGCAACTGTGACACTATAAAGTATTTGTGTTTAGGTGTATTAATTGACCTTGAAGTGAGATTTTTTTAATTAGGTGCCAATTTCCAAAGAAAGCAATAGACTTTGAAAGTGTGCACTGGCAAGACGTCCTTCAAGCACTCAGGACAACAAAACAAAGCAAATGTTGTGGTGTGGTAGAAGCTTGCACTTTCAGTTCTTTAGATCAACAGCATCATCCCAATAAACCAGCTAGTTACATTATGGCCTTGGCACACTTTCTTAACTTTAAACAAACCTCTGCTGACTTTAGGATGTATTAGTGAGCGGGCTATGTATTTGTTTGTATTTTTTGTCCAGGCTACCTCCAGTTGTGACTGTGACTGCACAAAGAAGGACGTGGCATCAGCTGTCTCATGTTATTTCTGGTAAATCAGCACATTTTCTCTTAAGTTTATGAGAAATACTGAAATTGAATATTTTTGACTCCCAGATACAGAACCTGTGTGTGCACCTTTAAAGGAGCAAATAATGTCACAACCAACGAAAATGAAAGGAGCAAGGCGACAGTCCATCTGAGGAGCACAGAGATGGTTGCTGCCCTTAAAGGGGAAATGAAGAAGACAGTGACATTTGACAGTTTCTTTCAACCTCAGACAGGAGGAAAAAGTTGATGGCATCATGGAGGGCAGAGATGACGCCACATGCCCCCTAAGCTTTATAAAAGCAGACATAAGTCCTAAAAAAAAGTCGATACATCTGGGCAACATTCAGCTTAATGAAAGGTATTGTAGCAGAAAGCAGGATGATGCCATCGTAGAGAAAGGAAAGAGAAATCCGTACATTTAAACACAGCTCATAGTGATGTGTGGTGTCCAAGCAGCAATTTTGACAGATTTTGGTCCTGTAGACATTTGTTTCAGCAGGTGAATGAAGAAGTACTCCAATCATTCAAAGGTGCCCTGTGGAGGTTTTGACCTCTGGTAGCAGTATGGAACAGTCTTCCTAAAAGTGCGTCCTCATTTTGTTTGGTTTCCAGCACAAATTTCTGTCAGTTCTGTGTCTCTTCCACGGATCCACAGGTGGCTATAATGCACCAAGAAAGGCCATAATGTGCCAGCAAACACAGAAGAAGACTGTTCACAAGTAAACATCGACAGTGTAAGTTGCCAGGTTTTTTTTAAATAAGTTTCCAAATGTTTTATAATGAAAGAAATGGATTCAACATATTTGTGAGAGTTCACAAACACAGAGACTGTTGGGAAAGTAAAAATAGAACTACCATATTAAAATACTCCATTAAAGTATTTTTAATGATGTAAAAACTCAAAAGTATTAACAACAAACATACTTAAAGCATCTAAAGTTGAAGCTCTATATGGAAAATGTCCTGAATGTCAGTGCGATATTATCGAATCATTGGTATTAATATTAATGTGTGGCATTTTAATGTTGTGGCCAGTCAAGACTCAGTTTATTTAATCTGCTTCTTGTTCTAATTCTTGGCACTTTCTGACATTTTTCTGAGCTTTATCTTTCTTCAGAGAACTGTCTTTGAAGGTAACATTTACCAGTTTCAGAGGGTACATTCTTTTAAGCACAGTGGAAAAAATGCTTCTGGTAATTGAAGCAGGTATCTGAATTTGAAAGATGTAACAAATGTCAACCTTAACCTTTCCTTTCACACGTTACACATGTGGTGAGGTTTGCCAGTGAGTCGACACAGACCCACAGGCTCAGCTTCTCCACATACGAGATGAAAAGACACTTAACTCAGCTGATGTTTCTTTTGATTTAGCCACAGGCGTTTTCCTTTCACCTGTGTGTAACAGACTGACTTTGTACTGAACGTGAGGCTGTAAACAAAACTCTGTCTCATCATATTGCCTAAACCACTTGTTTGGAAGGGAAAGCACTGAGAAGGTTATTTTGTAATAGTGTGCACAACTACAGGAAGTAATTCAGATATGAATCATGCTGTTGCTCTGCAAGATCTAACAATCTCAAACACCTGCAGAAAGGCTGAAGAAGCATTTGTCTACTCTCATACATATTGTGTGACCGACTGGCTCTGTAGAATTTCAGTTGGAGCAAAGGTATCAGTGTTGTGAAGCAGCTCATCAAGTGTAGCATTGCTGGCTTCATTTATACCCCCCCCCCCCCCCCCCTCCCCAGAATAACTGTTATTGATAAGGGATGGATGAGATGCTATCGAACCTTACGAGACCATATGAGACACCGCTGCTGAAATATTAATAGCAAAGCATAGATGTATGACAGGGAAGGCTAGGCTAGGCTTGGCTCACTGTTGAACCGAGCGCTGACAGTCTGCTTCTGTGTTAACTACTAAAGTTAGATTAACAGTACATTTTAGATCAGCTGAGATACTGAAAGACATACTGACGTACTGTTCAACGTTATGAAAAGTAGTAGACGTGTAGAGATGTACTGTTGTTGGAACTTCATTAACATTTATGTTTGGCTGACAAGCTCTCTGGTAACTTCACTAGATTGTTTTGGATCATGTGAGAAAATAAAGCCACTGATGTACCATCAAACGTTACTGGGCGGTAGTAGACATGCTGGAATATAAACAACAGATTATATTCATTAGCATATATTTGAATATTCATAGATCCTGGAATGCACAGTGAGGTGCAAATGTTGAAGACTATTGGAGATTCACTGAACTTTTTTGAGGAAATAGTTACTGTACATTTTGTAGAGAGTATTTTTATATGCAAATATAAAAATCTTTGTAGTGGACTTTTTAAAAAAAATAAAACTGAAAAGCAAATTGAAGCATCACTGGGCGGTGCATGGTGAGAGGAAGTGCACAAAAGCACCACAGGAGAAAAATGTTTGAGCCCTCTGCTGCTCATTAAACAGTTTCAGAGCTCCTCTGTCTGATCAACCACAAACCTCTAACTACTGTTTAGTCCAGCTCTGTCGTTGAAAGCTAATCTGATTAGACTTGAACAACAGAACTACATGAAGTCAGTTAAACTTTCCACTGTTGTTCAGCAAGTTTCAGAATCTACAAAATTGAAGCTAAAGACATAATGAAAGTTTATTATCTGGACACACTGATCCAAGACAATTCATAAGCAGGCAGCAGTTTGGTGGAAAGAGGAAGTAACCCGAGCCCAATAAAGATTTCTTGCACTGAACTGTCTTAACTTTTTCATAGCAACAACAATCCACAGACTTTGTTCTGAGGAGCCACAGCTTCAACAAAAAGGAACAAACTTTCCATTGTTTAAATGGACAGAGAAACCTGAAAATACACACACAGCTCAACTCAGTGCTGCTGCTTTGAAATTAGTGACATTGAACTGTTCTTGGCTTGTATTGTGTGTCAGAAGATGTTAAAGTAGGTTGAAAAGGGAGGTTTTTAGAGGCCTATGTTGCATAGAACTCAGTGACGCTATCATAAACTACTGTAAGTTGTACAGTATCTACCTGTTAAAAATATAAACGTGAAGTACTACTGAAACTGAAACGGATAACTGAAGACTTGTTTGTTGGTGCTTATTGTGTTATATAAGTGTTACGTCATGTTTCCAGTAATGTGGCGATTTCAGAGATGATAGTAAATCTACATCCATGTGCCACAAGATAAGTCTGACAAAAACACATTAGTGCTTCACAGTTTGATTTATGTCTGATGCTTCTCAAACCTGAAAAGCTTTACCTTTTAAAGTCACCTAGTAAAATTAAACAACTTGAGACTGTCCTTTTGTTTGGTCTTGAGTTGTCAGCAAATTATTGGAAAAAGCAAGATTAATAATATTCTAATAAAGAAAAATATGAAAGTTCTTGCAGTCATGTTTAAATACTCATGTATTCATTTTATTTTCACATGCATAATCAACAACAGTTATACCATGATGGTGCACGTGATGCCTGCATCACAGCAACACCGTGCCCTTCACATTAGTTTTATATTGTACTAAAATGAAAGAGGAAATATGTTGCAGAATAAAAACAAGTAGTATGATGCTTCCAGTAGTATCACCATATTAATAAACATGTGTATGCAAAGTGTTGACGCTGCTGAACGTCAACGCAACTCATTCACTAACAGTGGATTTCATTTTTCCTATCCCTGTCGTAGCTACTAAAGCATGATTAATTAGGGAACTTTTGTATTGTGGTCTCTATTCAATAATAAAAACATGGAACAGTTTATTGACATTTAACCAAAATCATGAACTTTTTACCAAAAGCTGTGTAAACCCAACCATATACAGGACTCCACTTTCTTCACTTCCAAAGTACAAAAAAAAAAGACCTTGACTCTTATGTTATGCTTCCAACTTAACATAAGAGACAACATAGTTTACTATGGAACATGATATTGGAACACTGGAAAACAAAACCTCATATCTGTGTTTAGCAAAGTGAGGCAGGTTCTGGAAAACTTTCAGTCATGAGTCAACAACAAAATGTGATTGGTATTATCACTGATTCTATGGAACATCAGATTTACAAAATGTCCTGCTTCCTTACCTGTAGATGTTTAATTGATATCAGCTGCTTCAGTCTCAGTGATCAGAGGCACAAGTGAAGACGTGTCCTCATGAGCTGCATGGGTTCACTCAGTGAAGTTCCCCAGTGTCACTGTTACTTCAAGTGGTTTTACTGCTAAAAGCTGAACAAATATTTGTTTCCTCTCTCTCTCTCTCACAGTTGGGAGGATACTGACATAATGCATTTCCTAGCTGCGTGTCTTTTCCCTCAACCAGCCTTTGGTGTGAGAACTAGCTAAAAAGTCCTCACAGTGCCGAACGGTCCTCACAACGATGGTATCTCTCTGTTTTACACAATCATAGAAAGATGTACACACGTACAGTAGACCTCTACTAGGTGTGGACTACTGTTAGTGTGAAAGCTGAAGTTGTCAGTCATTCACACTGTGAATAAGTGTTTAAAAAGAAGTTTCACTGAGTCATTAAAATCTCTGCTCCACAGTCAGTCAGTGCAGAGAATAAACTAACACTCAAACACCCGCAGATCCCCACTTGACAAATATTAAAATATATTCAAATGAAGTATATCACTTTAAAAACAACAGCATGTTGACCAAAGTACTTCACAAAATAAAAAATAAGACAAAAAAGACTGGAAGGTATCAGATGATTAATAATGGAGTTAATTAAATTGACTTTTCAAAATCATTAACAGATCGAGGGCTTTGCTTAAGTTAATTAATCTGTTTTTCAAAATGTAGATCACTGTCAAAAGTCACTCTGAAGTTCTTTACTGTAGGTTTTACATAAGAAGTCAAGGTGAGAAAACCTAAACCAGTGTTGCTTGAGCCACCAAATATTATACAACTGTTTTGTTTTCATGAATGCAAAGAAAATAACTTGTTGGCCAAGTTTTGACCTCAAGCAATCAGATCATCAGAGGGTTAGAGACATAATTATAGCATGTCCAACGGTCGACCTTCAACATGTCTCCTGTTAGACATGCCACACACACACACACACACACACACACACACACACACACACACACACACACACACACACACAGACACTGACCCTTCCTCTTTCTTTTATTTTGTGTGTGTGTGGCTTCATCTTCCTTCCTGGCTGCTTCTGTTTTCCTCATACAGTCACACTCACTTTGTCTCTCAGTCTAGTCTGGCACACAGATGTATAAACACACACATGGGATGACCAGCTTGTACTGATCACAATTTACAGCTGTTACTTTCCTCCCGAGTCCCCCTCGGCCAATCGGTCTCCACTAAATGGGGCCAGTGACAGTCTGTTATTATAGCAGATAACTGTAGATAATCTTCATAATTCCTCAGGGAGAACTTGTCCAAGTGGTGCACGTTGGGCCACCAACAGCCTTGGTTGTGTGTGTTTTCTTTTTTTTGCACTTCTGCTGATTTTCACTAGAAATGCCCTATTTTATCTTTGCACACATCATGAACTTTTTGCTGCTGTTTCCATTAAACGGGGTCCTCTTTGTCTCAGAATAGGCTTCCACAGTATTTTTCAGCATGAAAACAAAACTTTACAAATCTCAA